ACTTCCTCCTGCATATTTGTTGGGCGATTGGTTCCTGTTTCGTTTGTTCCCATAGCTTCTTGTTTGTGATTCTTTCTGGCCATCTAATCTTCAGTATGGAGCGAAGACAGTTGTTGATAAAGGTCTGCAACAGGCTGTTGGAAATATTCTTGGTGACCCGCCAAGTTTCTGATCCGTAAAGCAAAACTGACTTGACGTTTGTATTGAAAATCCGAATTTTGTTGTTGATGCAGGCTGAGTGACGAAGATTTCCAGATTGGTTTCAGGTTGATGAATGTGTTTCTCGCCTTCCCGATTCTCGATTTGACATCCTCGTCCGTTCCTCCTGTGGTTGAGACAATGCTCCCCAGATAAGTGAATGAAGTAACCTCTTTCAAATCCCTCCCGTTGATGGTGATTGGCACTGGATGTTGCTGCTGTTGTTGGTTGGTTATTTTCATAACCTCCGTCTTGTCTATGTTCACCTGGAGTCCTGTCTTTGCTGCTTCTTCCACCAGTTTGTCGGTTTTCACTTGTAAGTCTTCGATTTTGTGTGACATCAAACATAAATCATCCACGCGCGAAATCCAGGTCTTCTAGGTTCTTCACGTCGGTCCAGGATATCCCTGTCTTCTCGTTTCCCACTGTCTGACGCATAATCCAGTCCACCACAATTAGGAATATCATTGGTGATAATAAGCACCCTTGTCTGACTCCTGTGTTTACTCCAAACGCTTCGCTGAGTTTTCCGTTGTGGATGACTTGACATGTGCCGTTGTCGTACAGTTGTTGAATAAGGTTGATGAATATTTGCGGTACGCCGTAGTACTCGAGTAGTTTCCAAATTACTTCGCGGTCAACGCTGTCGAAGGCCTTCTCAAAGTCTATGAAGTTGAGGTAGAGATTTGATTGCCATTCCATGCTTTGTTCGATGATAATGCGTAGAGTTGCAATTTGGTCAGAACATGATTTGCCTTTCCTGAATCCAGCTTGTTCTGGTCGGAGTTCTGTATCCAGTGAGTCGTTTATTCTCTCCAGGATGATGCGACTCAGGATTTTACTTGGCGTCGACAGGAGCATGATTCCTCGCCGGTTCTTGCAGAGTCTTAAGTCGCCCTTCTTTGGTAGTTTCACCCGGTAGCCTTTCCTCCAGTCAGTAGGCACCTTTCCCTCTTTCCAGATCTTTTGCAATAATGGAGTCAGCATATATGCTGTCGTTTCTGGGTCCGCTTTCAGTGCTTCCGGGGGTATTCCATCTGGTCCAGCTGCTTTTCCACCTTTCAGAAGCTTGATTGCATTCATGACTTCAGTTTTCGTTGGAGGATTGGTGTCAACTTGCAGTTGTGTACGTGCTGTTGTTGGTATTACTGGACGGGTTGTAGGTGGTGATCGGTTCAAGAGTCCTTTGAAGTGGTCCGCCCATTGTTTAATCTGCCTTTTTTCCTTGGTAACTGGGTTCCCTTGGTTGTCTTTTATAGGTCTCAATTGTGTTGATCTCTTCCCGGATAGAGACTTGGTTATCTGATATAGTGTCCTCAGGTCCCTTTTGCCTGCTGCCTTCTCAGCTTCACTAGCCAGGTTGTCATAGAATTGTCTTTTGTCCTTCCTGGCACTCTTCTTCACTTCTTTGTCCAGTGCTGTGTAAGTTGAGTTCAGCGTCTCTTTCTCTTGTCCATCTTTGCATTGAATCATTTTCTCTTTCACCATTCTCCTCTCCTCTATTAGCTTCCAAGTGTCTGTTGAGAGCCATTCCTTGTCTTGTTTCTTCTTTCTTCCTAAAACCGTTGAGCACGTTTCGTTGAAAATTACCTTCAGAGAGTTCCAATGGTCTTCCACGGATGATTCCTCAGTGGTGCCACGTAGTGTTTCCTGCTTTGCTCTGACAGTTGCAGTGAAAATGTCCTGTGTGATTGTGTCCTTCAGTTTTTGAGTGTTGAACTTGCATCGTGGCCTATCCCCAGGTATCCTCGAGGCTTTCAGCTTCACCTTGAAAGTCCCTTGTACCAGATAGTGGTCTGAACCCACATCTGCTCCTCTCCTCGATCTTGTGTCCAGTAGGCTCCGTCTCCACTTCCTTGAGATTGAAATGAAGTCTATCTGGTTTTTGGTGTGTCCATCTGGTGAAATCCATGTTGCCTTGTGTATATCCCTGTGTTTGAACACACTGCCACCAATCACCAAACCATTGAAGGCGCAGAGGTCTGAGAAGAGTTCACCATTTTCGTTCATTTCACCGAGGGCCTCACGACCCATGGTGAGTTCTCTTCCTGTATTGTCTCCTCCCAGTTTCGCATTCATGTCGCCCATCAGGATTTTGATATCGCTCTTTGGGACGTTGTCCATTACTGTTTGTAGTTGACTGTAGAAATCCTCCTTCTTTTCATGTTCTGAGGCGTTTGTAGGCGCGTAGCACTGAATGATTGTCACCTTCTTTCCTTTTGAGTTGAACCTGGCTGTCATTATCCTGGGGGAGATTGGTTCCCACTGCATGAGAGCTTTAGCCGCTGTTGGTGACATCATGATGGATACTCCCTCGGTGTGCTCGTGATTGTCCTCTGGGTGACCGGAGTAGATTATTGTCTCTCCAGTTGATAGTTGGCTCCTTCCACATCCGTTCCATCTGCTCTCGCAGATTCCCAACACTTCTATTCTATATCTCCTCATTTCTGCGGCTACCTGAGCAGCCTTCCCAGCTTCGTACATTGTACGAACATTCCACGTCCCCATCCTTATTTTCGCTTTCATCGAAAGAAGGCACATCGGCTGACTGGCTTCCCGAAGGCTTTCACCAGCCCGCGTCATTTCACTTCCTCGATTCCAGCGAAAAATAAGGTCACTATTTGTAATTTTAGAATTTTGAATATATTTGTGCGTTGAAGTTTTAGTAGCAATTTGGTTAAGTTTTGGGGGTGGAGTTGCTAGCACCACGCCCCAACCCTCCCTCTTTATCCGGGCTTGGGACCGGCTAGAATACTAGTGACCTAGTAATCTAGGCGAGGTTCGGAGATCTATCAGCTGAGACCCAAATACTACTAACAAAGTCGTAATTTCACTGAAATCTTACTGAAAATCTTAGTGAAAGGTGATAAAATACTATAAAATCGTCAGTTTTTTTTAGACTGATTTACGTTCTCAAAAATTAAACAACTATCTTAATAAATTGCGAATTGCATGGAGGGTTTCATCATGAGCTGACATCAGTTAGAGAACCACTGGAAAACCAGCTGGGAGTACTGGACAGCTGTTTCGTCCTAGTTTGGGACTCTTCAGCAGTACGCGCCCAACGGGATTCGAACCCAGGACCTTCTGGTTACGAGGCGAGCTCGTAGACCATTGAGCCACTGGGACCCGATCCAATGGTCCTTGAATTCTAACTTCTGCCAATTCACGACATAGCGCGACCATTTCGCAATGTCTTCACTAGTGACTGGCCCTATTCAGGCAGTTAACCTGGGGTTCTAGTGGGAAGCCGTGACCAGTAGGGTACAGCAGGTCGAAGATGAGGACAGTTACTCACGAAGAAGACATTGCGAAATGGTCGCGCTATGTCGTGAATTGGCAGAAGTTAGAATTCAAGGACCATTGGATCGGGTCCCAGTGGCTCAATGGTCTACGAGCTCGCCTCGTAACCAGAAGGTCCTGGGTTCGAATCCCGTTGGGCGCGTACTGCTGAAGAGTCCCAAACTAGGACGAAACAGCTGTCCAGTACTCCCAGCTGGTTTTCCAGTGGTTCTCTAACTGATGTCAGCTCATGATGAAACCCTCCATGCAATCAAACCAAATCCCTACAAAACCAATACTTGCAAATTGCGAATTCACAAGATTAGTAGAGAAGTTGTTAAAGCTAATAATGAAATTCAAGAAAAGATTGAAACACTGATGAATATTTCTGTTCAACTTATTGCTTTGAATAGAATAACAATTGGATTCGTCCAATCAGCTTTTTTTGTACACATTTTTAATTATTGACCTTAATCTTAATTTTGTATAAAAAGGCAGCTGTATCAGGTAGTTTAGCGTTTACACTGCCTCAAATACAACATTATGCGATTTCAATAAAATCTAATTTCTTCGTTATTGGAGTCTTAGAAATTATCTCTCACTGTCATCTTTCTATTCGTGTATAAACGGTGGTATAGGAGAGAGGAATCAGTGTAACTAGAAAATGTGAATAATGCATTCTAAATTAGCATTAACTTCCCTCTAATCAGCTAGCCACCTACGCATGGAAATTGAATGTGTACATAGGTTACACTTTCTCTTCCACACAAGCAGACATCAACACACATATACACACACACACTTTATTTTCATTCTTCTCCATCATCTCCACCCTTTAATGAATGTGGAAGAAACATAGATCAGCCTATAAGAGATAAGGGGAGAGAAATGCAAATGTAAACCAATTAACCAATCAACAAATTGAAGAGGATGAATTCTCAATTGGATTTACGAATAGAAAATCATCTTTGAAGAAGTAAGCGTGATAATTGTATTATCCTATATCCAAGGGGAAATTTTGCCTATTAACATTCAGTATAACTGTATTTCCTAAACAGTGGCATACAGTAACTATTCAGAATGAAGGCAGTGGAATGAAGGAGTATTACTATTATTATTTTTTCTTTCTTTTTATAGACCAGTTCAATTCAGTGTAGCCCAATTTTCGCCATATTTATTTTGCAAATAATGATGAAACTACAAAACAAACTGAAAGATAGGTAAGTATTAAAAAAAAAAGGGATATAAATATATTTCGCTTATCCTTCTTATTCTCTTCGAAAATTCTTATGAGGAATATACACGCATGTATCGCTTTGCATTGAAGACTGTCTTTTGATTTGTTCACTGAATGTCTATCCATCGATCGATTTCACCCACTTTTCAGAAGATCAACAGAACAAGCAGAAGAAGAAGAAGACGAACAATAAGAAGAAGAGGGAGAACGAAAAGTTGGAGAGTCGATTTTTGATGCTTCTGAAGCCTTCTTTGATTTCATTAATTTTTTAAAAATACATATATAAACTGAAGAGTACTGCACGGGTAAGTCAAAGATACATATATATACATATTATACATTTATTTTAATGGCTTAAGTTGTTATCATACCTCTGTGATGTTCTGACATATTCTTAATTGTCAGAATAATCATCCCATAAAAGGATAATAACTACGAAACATTGAAGTGCTAACTTTGTCGAATCGTCTGGTCTATTAACATTTGGATAACTAACACTAAAAGTAAATCAGTAAGTATAGTGAACACTATTATCTCATGAATTATGGAAATGACTTAGACTTTATTGCATTACAAAGATAATAAGGATCTGACGGTATCCAGCATGAAGCTAGGCTGTTCTATCCACTCATATTGCCATTTGTGACTGAATGATCTGAGGATATGCTGAATCCTCACTGTAATTCAGATAAGCAATTCAAAAAGAGGACGTTAGAAAAAAAATAGTTATAAACATTCAAAGCAAGCGAAAAATTTAAACAGTGGTGTCATTTTTTAAATTTATTAAATATTTATATTAGGACATAAAAGAGAGATTAAGAAATTCCTGAGAAGATACCTTTAAAGGTATATCATTCTCAATTGTTATACAATTACAATTCACGTGACTTCCCCTTCTACATAGCAGTATGGTTACGAGGATTTTGCGGCTGGACAAAGTCAGAAGTAAACATGGATTATATCTTTTGAACATGAGTGAAGTCTGTTAACGATCTTTTAGTTTTCTTTCTAATACTACATTTAATAAGAATCTTCAGAAACGTGACTGAGGAAGCTATTTAAGAATCACCTACAGATGAATAGAACTAGATGGTCATTTTCCAAGACATAACTGGATTACATAATTCAAGCCTGATTTAGATTCACATATCGATTTCAGCATTAGGAAGATGTAATCACAATTGTATGCACTTAAATTTTTATACTAATCGGATTATAATGAGTGATATATTATATATATATATATATATATATATATATATTTATGTATGGTATTGCATTTTTTGACTTTTGAAGTTATTGACGATGTTTAAGATACGTATCTACCAGTCCAATTTAAAATTGTATCCAAAAAGAAATGACCAATGTTTTGTAAAGTGCCAGAACTTAGAATAATTTATTGACAATAAAATATAAGTCATCTGTGTACAAATTGTGTTTCCTACGTTGGGCTGTGAAAAATGAGACAACAGTCTATCTCAGATGCATAAATGAATTCAGGAAATAATTTCAGTGTGCCTTCCAGTTGAACTGATCAAATTGCTTAATTGACTTATTTCATTTAATTATTATTACTTCATCCTGAGTAACATGCTATCCTTCACTAAATCCTATTTTCACTCTTACAAATAAATCCAGACTAGAGAGGTTGTGAGTATCCTGCAACAGTCTGAGCACCAAATTTGACTCAATTATCAATAAGCTAATATATGCATAATCTCAGAGTGTTTTGAAAACGAGTACAAGATACTCCCTCAGTGATATTAGATTGTATGAGGCAATCAGCAAGTAACCTTGGACCTAGGTCTCGTGCTAGTTGGCACTCATCAGCGAGGCGTATCTGCCAGCTTGAAGGAACTCATTTCTCTTCTTGATACTCGAACCCACATCACCCAGTGCTGAAGTCAGAAACTTTACCACTGAGGTATTCGGGCTCATGACTGACCTCCTGTAGGACTGTATTTGACACTCTGATTGGACTAGACACATCACACTAGTTACTAGTGTTCAATCAAATACTCCCTCAATATTTCATTGTCTAAGCTGTAGGTACTTCTGAATAATTACTCGGGTATTCTTGAAAAGTCCTCTCATACAATCTGAGGAATTCTGTTGAAGGAGCTTTGACTCAGGCAGTGATACACTGTGATAAAATCTTCTTTTAATTTTCTAGACGTGGTCAGATTGTTTTAAATAATTGTCATCTTCCTGAAGGTTGGTGATATATACTTTTACCTCTGTGAATAACTGAACTTAATACTTCCACCAATGTGTTCAAATTAATTCTAACAGTTGGTCGGTGCATACGTCATTTTAGCATTGAGTTAGTCGGTGATATTATAGTTGAGCAAATTAAAATCTTGATTGATAATGACTGAGACTAAAATTCAGGCTGTACTTTCTCTTTTCTATTTCGAACATGGTTGGTTGCATACACCAATATTCTAGTTTGTTTCTTTGTTTGCTTGTGTAGGCTGTGGAAGTTCGCCAACATCACAGATGATCTTGATATCAGGTGATGTGAAATTATCACTCTCCGCTTAGACTGAACCATTTCGGCCAGTGATTTCACGTGAATGGTGTTAACCGGTTTGATTGAGTATTTCAGAATACATTAATCCCTGGTTGTTATACGGATGACTATGACGTTTGCTTGTATCTTCTACCTTTGGATATTTTCATGAGTAGTAGTACTGGTATTAATCATGACACGAATAAATTTTTTAATTCTTTAATGACGAATGTTTAACTGACAAAGAATACTGTAGAATTAGTCCAGATTAGTCTTCCTGAAATCCGATGAAGGTGTAAATTACTTCTTAACATAATAATAATATGTATATTGTCTTCGTCTGGTTTTCATCCAGGTGATGAAATCTAAAATGGTTGAAATTATTGTTCTTTCAAAATCCTCTTATAACCATCTTCATTTATATATGCTTTTAATGTAAGGATGTTTAATTGTTTTAAATCTGTGTCAAGGAACTTAACTCTTAATTTCCTATTATTTGCGAGGACGCTCTGAACCGATAATTACTATGTACGTTTCTCGACTTTAACTCCAAAACACCAGTACTTGTTAGAAGGTTATATTGTTTGGCAATTAAAGTCTAGATAGTTACAATTTTTTATTCGTATTCTTTCGTCTTCTTCCAACTTGTACACGACTGAACCATTCGCGCCTTCGAGTTGCCCGCCAATGGCTACCAGTTCCAATAAACAAACGTTCAATGTTCGCGTCCATTGACAATCTGTATTCAGAGAAACTTGAATATTCCTGCTATTTTAATTACAAATAAAGTGTATACATATATCAAACGATCATTTCAAATTATATAAAGTCATATTAATTTCTGCATGGTTATGAACTGGAGTTTCTCACTCTTATCTACTATACGTATGGGGATATGGCCATACAGCTTAATCAGTCGGTGGATCCTCTCCAATTACTTCAGCCTAGGTAGCTGGGTTGTATGATTAGCTGTAACATAATAAGTCTGACTCATATGTTGGTACAAGAGAAGTCCGTTAAGGGTAGATGATTTTTTACTAACTAGCTAACTAAGTGGAGATTCCATAACATTTCCTTTCAAGATGGTAACTATTATCGATGACAGTGCTACATAATACAGTTTCAAATTGTTTCTAAAAAATAATCTTATACGAAAACGTGAATTTGTCATTTCGGATAAATATTACAGAGGAAGAAACGTAAATGTGAGTCAACTCTGATTAATTTCACATGATTTTTCTTAAAGTATCTAACTTCTATAATTCCCATACAGTACCTCAGTGTATTTTTAAGGAGCACAGATTATTACTTTTAGTATTAATTAATATATTAGTACTTGTCTAAAGTTGATAATAAGTTAAGCAAATACAAAGTGGGAATATTTATCATTTTTACTCAACGTTTCACTGAAAAGTGGTGCCTTACTGACTCACTAAATTATAACGATTCAGGGATTACTTATGCGTGCTAATAAGCGCATAACTTTGCTCCAGGTATCCCCAATCTTACATTAATTTTTTGTTCTCTTTTATTTCATTTCTACGCATTCCCTGTGGAATATAGGGCTTCGAGTGGGCTTTGAAGTTTCAGTAGCAGTGATATTGTCGTCCTTACAGGGTAGGGTCGCTAGCCTCACGTCCAATCTTCAAGTTTATCAGTTAGAAGAATTGAAGTATGTAGTTTCGATAGAAGTAATACTAATGAAGCTTTCATTACGTTCAGTATACATTCTGGTGAATCATTTTTGCACCGTATGCAGAATAAGTTATTGCATTTAAACAGGGTTAGAATTAATTTAACTAGTACAACATGTATATAATAAATGCAAACACGAAACGTCAGTTAATATAGTGCCCAAGTTTTTCTTTGTGGATTGTTTGCTACAAATACCGATAAATGATTAGAAGAAAAGTGTTTCAAAGCACTTGAAATGGGATCAGATTTCAATAAAACTACTGTCTAAACTGTTTTTCAGAGGAATGTGTGTGTACTTTCAAATTTTTGTTTATCACCTTTGTATGATAATAAATGTCTACAACCTACGGTCTATACCGTCATCCATCGAAATCAGTTTTACCTAAGTCTATGTCCTATTTTACGAGGTGAACACTGTATTCATTATAAGACTAAGCTTCGTGAAAAACCAACTTTAGACAGATTATCATTAAAAATAAGGAAAACTGTAAAGATGTAATGCACGTTTTTGGTCTCCTTTTACTAGCCAGGCTGAGTAGTGTTCGCGAGCGCGTTTTTCAAGTCGGCGCATGGTACGGCCGATTTACTCAACTCCACAAGAGCAAGTAAACTAGTATATGCACGTTGAGGTGGCCCAGTGCGACGCGCTCACAAACACTACCCAGCCTGACTAGTAAAAGGTGACCAAAAATGATATTATAGTTTATTTAATTTGCAGCAGTCTTAGGATAGGCAAACACTATCCAGTCAATCTTCTTAACCTAACTGATTTGTGTATTTCAACAGCTATCAATTTTTAATGAAGTCTTGACACAATGCACAACTGTCTTTACACACAACACCTCAGAGTTGATCAGCTATAATTTCTCAATGCAGATCTACTTTGAAGCTATTCACTAATGAGTTACAGATTTATCCCAGTGTCGGATGAATCAAAAATCATACTAACTCTAATATCACTTGTTATCAGGGTGTAGTGTTTAACTATAGTCTCACATTAATAAGTCGTTCATCTTTCCAAAAATTACATGTAAATATTTAAATCAATAAAGTAATTGAGCACATGTGACACCGGTTACTACTGAAATTTTGTAGTTCACTAAAGGTCGAATAAACAAAATGTATCATATCGTTCGTTACCTATATTAAGAAAAAGGGATAACTACGGATCACTGAAAACCAACACTTAACACTTCTATATATCTCACAAAAATATGCACTTTTTTTGTCAGAAATGAATTCACAATATGTCTGGGTGATCAGACGAGTCTAGATAATTGTAAGTGATATAGTTTATCAATCGGCAGTAAGTCATTATGAAAGCATCTCATAATAATCGACTTTTTCTTTTGAAGTTTTTCCTCAAGTGAACTTCCAGTTCTACTGAAAGATTCCAATATTCATTGTTCATTGTTCTTAATGAGACCACGAAGAATTTCGGACATGAGACACAGTTTTGTACAAACAATTAATATCAGTTCATATATATATATATATATATATAACAATTCAAAAATTCGAATTCTTAAAGTAACAATAAAAATAAAATTATTCACTTCATAAAAATAAGATCGATGAGTAAGCTCACTAGCTAGACTGCCGTGCACATTGATCATTGTCATAAATATCAACTCTGATTTTAGATTAGGTGTTTATAATTTCAAAAATAAACACAGACTAATATTTTTGATACGGACGAACATGTTTGAAAATAACTTTTAACTCTGCAGTTCCCCTTTTCACAAATAATACTTTACAGAGATAAGTAAGAAATTTTATTTTACAAAATGGTTCCAACACAGTGTTATACAACTGAAAATACTGAGCAGACGCCATGACTGTCCAAAACCAAAGATAAAATGACTTTGTGCTTGCTTATGCTGACAATCTTAAAAATATACATATTTTGTAGTTTTAACTGACTTTAAAAAGCATTTGTTAATATTAAGACCATTTATAGGTTTGATGTTATAATGTTGACTTGATTGTAACGTGATATTTTGGCATATAATGAAGCGACTATCTTCTGTTCCACGTACTACCGACCGACTGATAACAGTAGTAAGCTACCAGTAGTGCTTGCTAGTCAGATCGAAGCGATCTAATCACGGTACAGGTGTTCCACTTGTTTGGCGCTGATATTACCAGTAGTTTACTGAGTTTGACACAGTTCAGACGAGATGAAGTCAGTTGAAACAATCGGAACTCTTGCTAGCTAGCAGGTCACTGACTTGATCCATTTTCAGATCATCTGCTAAATTCAATTAACTAAATTTTCAATCACATAATATTTCAAAATTTACTGAAGTGTGTATGATGTTTAAATTCAGTTGAATGGAATGAGAGAGATACATGGGTATGCGTGCTTTTGGTTATTTCCACTAACAATACATGGTTTTTCAATGATTGGTCACACTTCAGTAGCTAACTTCGTATTGCAAAGTCTTGAGGGCTAACCAAATTATATCACTCAAATTTGCACTGGAGTCACTAAGCTGGCGGACTTATCAATTCAGTATACTTTCTAGTGATGTTGGATGGTAGGGAGGTGATTATCAGGAAGCCCAGGACTCAGGTCCCCTGAGACGTCAAATTAATCAACATTTGAGGTAGGTATTACTTACGACTCCTAATAATTTTGAAAATAAGATGCAGAGCTGTTTTGATCACTCATAGTGATTCTATAGTATTTTGAACAAAGTAAACATTCCCAATATGAAGAATTATCACTACAATCTCTGATTTATTGATATTGCTTTAAGATTTGCTCACTTTATATATATTTATGGAAATGACAAAACATGTGGATTTACTTTGTTTCTTGTGCAAATATTTTTTCTTTAAGTGTTCATTGGTGGCAAACTGTGTTGTTTACAAACTTTATTTTAAACAAAATTCGCACAGATGAAACACTTAGAAGTCAGTTTGCTGCTTATAAGTGGTCATCCTCTAGATGGTCAATGGTTTGGATTACTGGGCTTTCACATTCTTAATATAATAAGCCGAACTAACTTCTCTGTACAGTTTTATGTACACACATGATGTACATAGCAGCAGATAATACTATTCGCTTACACAGTCTGAAGTAAGCGAGAGTGTGGAATTCAAATCTGACACAATGATTGGAATACAAGTGTTTGAACCAAGGAGCCATATCTTCACTGTCGCTTTTTATGACTCAATGCTTGAATGGTAACGTAAGTTGACTGCTTCTCACACTTATAATGTTTTACAGTAAATTTATACGTAGAGTACTCGTCCTTTCCATCGAAGGTATTATGGTTGTGATCAATAAACACCCTATAAGTTTAGCATTTCTCTACTAATATATCAACTCACATAAAAGTAAAATAAAGGATAGATTCAATACAGAACACTTTTAAGTTTATTATCTTTATACGTTTCCTGTTAACTAACTAGAGTTTCAGAAGTGTTAATGACTTCATCGTCACTCTTTTCAAAATTACACAATTCATCCGTTCACCATTTTTCATCAAATATGTTCTGCTTAATTATAGAACAGGCCCACTTTTCTCAGAACACTAATCTTATTTTGCATTCCACTGATGAGAAACTATGAAATAAGATAGTATCATCTTAGTTGAGAACTAAATGGTCAGCTAATATTTACTTAAATAAGCCATTCTCATTTACGCATTCTAATAAGCGTAGTAACGGGACGTGTGACAAAGTCATCCATGATTCAACAGCAGTTAGATGCATATTTTCATGAGAAAAAGAGTGATTTTCTCAAAAGGTCCCACCTACATTGAAGAAAAATGTTTTTAAAACGTATGTTGGATTGTAAAGCATGAAAATGTACAGTCTTTGTGACCGTAACATTGAAAAATTGTTATCTTATTCTGTCTACAGTAGACTTTGTCTAGACTATGAGTTATATGCGTCGTGTGAAATTTAATAAAACTATTTGACTGCTAAAAGCCTAAGTAATATTTGGAGATGTGGCCTGAAATTCGGAGGATGTAAAAGCTGTTCAGTCTCTTTAGTGTCCTTCTGATTAGTATTGAAATATGTGCGTCGGTGGTATAGCGGTTAGGACGCTCGCCGACCATGCACATGGTCCGGGGTTCGATCCACGGCCGACGCACTCCTTTACCTCGCTAAGTCAGAAATAATGCTGGTGAAGAGGAAAGGTTGGGCATGAGGCTAACAACCCCATCCTGTAAAATAAACACTGCTATAGAAACTTCAAGCCACTAGCTTGGAGCCCTATGTTCCACTGGCCAACGTGAAGGAAAAAAATGCAACTAATTACGATGGCATACCCATTCATTGTCAGATTTCGGGTTGAAGACATGCTGAAAATATTTTTTTCTATTGGGCCAACAGTGTCGCCTTTTGTCTGAAATAGCCTGTGTTCAGGAGGCCAGACTAAATGCAAAGGCTTAACAATTAAGATCCGAGAAGAAAGGTAAATTAAAAAAATAGCATCCACGGCTTATTGACTCAAGAGTTAACTATTTAAATATGGAAGACTGGAAGTCTTCAGTTTCCTTCTATTGCATAATATTAGACTGCTTGCCAGGTTAAGCTAAACACTAGGCTGTACATTTTATGCTAAAATCTGCATTAAAAATAAAATAACTAAAATAAGATCCTCAAAACATTTTTTTCACAATTCAGTTTAGGCTTATTATGACGATAGAGTTAATCATATGATATTCAGAATTTAGTTTGACCTTGTTGATTCACACAGATATGCAGCATACTTTAAAAAAATATCTTAACTACAGAACAAAATAAGGCTCTTATTTCATTAGTCATACAGTCAGTAATATTGAGCTGCCGTCAGTAATTAAGAAAATAGGTATAGTTATATACGTAGTGTATTTCACAGAGAAGCTCTTGAGGCAGGTTTATGAAGTTATTCAGCGCAACGTCTGAAAGCTGTTAAAACATAAATCCAGTAGGCTTTCAGCTTTTATGTATCCTCATGGAGGATACAATGGATATTGGTTGGTTATCTGATTAACTTCAACTGAAAACCCCAACTAGACTCTGTCAGTTGTAAAGCCACATTTGAATGAATGTCTCATATAGTTTCAGACAAAAAGCTGTTTGTTGAATCAGCTACCCAGAATAGGTTTAATCAGAAGCGACTGTGGTGTATTGTCATAATGTTGTGCATTATAAGTTAATCAGGATCTTGTCGGAATTTATTACCTAGGTGTACTTTTCACTTTAATCCCTCTTAAACTGACTCCAAGACCGAAGTATACATTATTCAGTGTTAAGGTCAGGATTTCGATGTTTTGTGGAGTGTCACTGTAGTTCCTTTCGTCTCTTTCGACAAATAAGCTAATTTTCTGAAGAATCAATATTAAGACTTCAGATGATTAGATTTTGTTCACCGAACTGGTGTATGTAGACGTGATATAATTCTCAGTCTAAGAGAATATTACTGGCAGTTGTTATTCTCGATGAAGGAATGATTTTTGGTGCACAGTGACTGAACTACTTGAAAACAATTCCAAAAAGTTTTAGATTTAAAATGCTTCATCATCTGAAAATAAGACCAGTTGCGGGTTATGGATTAGCGACCAGTTTTCAGATCCGTTGGTCGAAATTCCAGTCAGAAACATTCACCTATAGAACAATTTAATTTTTAGTGCCAATAGTCAATAATGACACTTAAAATGTTCCTGGTAAATAAGGTAGTGACTTTTGATCGAATGGCTGGAACCAACTTGAAAGATAAATAGTCATACGTTATTGTGATTGTGATATGTCTGAAAAGATATCTCGTGATGCATTTTAATGAATTTCACTAATTGGCGACGGAATTTTTCAGTTGATTAATCAGGCCCTCATTGATAAACTATTTAGCATATTCATAATATTTTGAGTTTCGTATCAAATAACTACATAATTCATTTTCGATACTCATTTTGCAGAGAACAGACCAGAACTGCCAAAATCCATTTTTTTCATTCTTTTGAGCTCCAGGTGTAAGTAATACAGGGTTTCAAGTTTGAGCCTTGAAGTTTTGGTAGCAGTGGTGTTATTCTTTTCTACGGGATGAGCTTGCTAACTCCACGCCCAACCCTCCTTCTCTACCGGGCTTACCCTCAGTTCAGTGAGGCCCAGAACACTCGTGTAATTAACGAGTATTCCACCAGTGAACTGCCGATACATCATGATTATAAAAAAATAAAGCAAGGTTCCACCGTCGCTCTCTCGCTTTTCTCCTCTTCTCGATTCTTTGCTCTGCAAGTGAGACATAATACTCCAGAATGGGAAATTATTTCATTTACTAAACACATTACATTATTTGGTTAGGGGGCTTTAGTTATTAATTTGTCACTAAAGTTGACCGTGGTCTAGTCGTTAGTGCTGCTGACTGAATCTTATTAGTCATGTTTTCAAAATGGCCCACAGGTAAGATGACTCGCCACTGTCGAGTACTTTGAATCAGTGTTAGATTGGATTCCTACAAATTTTCAACTACAGTACTGTGCTGAGTGGCGAATGAAGAGTGATTCATGCACACAGTTCAGTTATAAAAGTCAGTTTTAGTTCGGGCAGTTTTACTTATATATATACACCTGTATTCATCTTTTAAACGTTAGTGTAGTGGATCCATTCTCTTTCAAAATGAATTTTCACTTTATAACTGAGTGCTAATGAAAACAAGAGCCGAGATAAAAAAAAATAAGACAATTTCTATCAATGACCTTCAAATGTTTTGCATTCATTCCTTGCACTATATTTCTATATTGACAGAATTCTTCAATCCATTAATATATAGGTAAATATGATAGAGTGAAATATTTTGCAGAAATAATTTGATCATAAGGATTATAACTGTATACATATTAGCAAAGATAGATGTTGGTCAATAAGTTTCTGCATCAATAATGCCTAATGTTTAAAACTGTATTCACTGCTGGCTTTGTACACCATTTTTCTCTGATGAAAGTAGTTTGTTTATTGATGCCTTAATATCATTCATATCTCTTAGCGATGAAGCTTATGCATGACGCCTAATTCAATAAATACATTTGATATTCAAGTTTTGGTTTGTAGGGATTTGATTGGTTACAGGACTTTCATCATGAGCAGACATTAATTAGAGAACCATTGGAAAACCTGGGAGTACTGGACAGCTGCTGTTTCGTCCTAGTTTGGGACTCTTCATCAGTACGCATCCACCGGGATTCGATTCTAGGACCTTCTGGTTACAAGGTGAGCTCGTATACCATTAAGCTACTGGGACCCGATCCAATGGCCCATGAATTCTAACCTCTGCCAATTCACGAAATAGCGCGACCCCTAGCCAATGTCTTCGGCGAGTATTTGTCCTCACACCCGACCTGCTGCACCCTACTGGTCACGACTTCTCACTAGAACCCCAGGTAACTACCTACCTGAATAGGGCAAGTCGCTAGTGAGCATCTCATTGGTCCCAAACTAGGACGAAACAGCTGTCTAGTACTCCCAGGTTTTCCAATGGTTCTCTAACTAATGTCAGCTCATGATGAAAATACATTTGAATTGTCAAAAGTCTTCGCATCCAGATAACAGTGGCAGTTATTTCACTAGATTACAACTTTCTGTTATAAATCACACATAACTCTTTCAGTCTTTTGCAAATTCATTTGTATTCAGGATGGGATATAGGACTTCAAGCTTGGAGATTTGAATTTTTAGTAGCTGTGGTGCTTCTTTTTCAAGAGTTGAGATTGCTAGTCTCACACCTAACTTTCCCTCTTCCCACGCTTACTATCAGCTGATTAATTAGGCGAGATGACGTGTGTGGCTGACGTGGGTTTTACCATAGTTTGGGTTAGTGGGCTTGATTTCAATTTTTGAAACGTTTGAAAGTACTTTTTTATTACCTGATACAATTTTTTTCAATGAAAATTCAAGAGCTGTATATATACTTAACTCTATTGATTCCAGGTCCGAAGAATGGGTGAGATATCATAAAACACAGCCATTTCTGAGTGTACCATATGAACGACTTTTCAAAGTCACGGCAGGGCACTCAAAACACTTCGTGATTCAACGACGTAGTGTCCCGAATAGTGTTAGTATTAACAGACTAAAAATCTTTTTTTATTCCTTTACGTTCCCAGTGGAACACAGGGCTTCAAGCTGAAGCTTTGAAGTTTCGGTAGCTGCTGTGTTTATTATTTTTACTGGATGGGTTTGCTAGCCTCATGCCCAACCTATC